CAGCCATAGATGTGAGTGAGTCAAACTCTGCACCCACTACAGATCCTGCCTTCTTCACCAGCTTATCCAACCGCACAGTGTCTTTCCTGAGACTTCCTCCCCAGAGGTCACAGCGCTGAAGAGGACACTGGGGATGACTGTCTGGCAGAACATCAGCAGGAGCTTCTGGCAGATGTTAAAGGACTTCAGCCTTCTGAGAAAGTACAGCCTGCTCTGTCCCTTTCTGTAGAGCAGGTCTGTATTCTCACACCCATCTAGTCTGTGGTTAAGCTTTAGGTCCAAATACTTACAAATCTCTACCAACCTCCACAGTTTCCCCCTCAATAGTCAAATAATGCAGCTGTGGTCTGCTTCTCCACAAGTCCACCACCATCTCTTCGGTCTTTGCAGTGTTCAGCTGAAGGTGGTTAGCCTTGCACCAAACCACAAAGTCCTCAGCTGCCTGTACTGACTGACTGTTGTCATTCAGCTCCTTGGGATGAGGCCATTTGGGGTCAGGGACAATACATGTCTTCCACTGATGTTCCATATGTTAGCTGAGAATATGTTTTTAAATTATTAATTGGTATTGGAAATATTTCATAGGGCCTGGCTCATATTAGACTGATATTTGCATCACTCTGAAATAGTCTACATTTTTTTCATTTTAAAATATGTCTGTCTCATGTCTTTTGGTAAGGCCATGTTTGTTTTGGTTCACCTTTGGCTTCCACCCAAAACACAATGCTGTCACTGGTCAACCAACCCTATCATACCTGTACAAGCCAAAATGGGTTCTCCTGAGTTCATGAACTCATAAATCTCACAAGCATCCATCCATCTTCTTCCTCTTATCCGGGGTCGGTTGGCGGGGGCAGCAGTCTAAGCAGGGGCTGCCAGACTTCCCTCACCCAAGACACATCCTCAAGCTCCTCTGGGGGAACCCCGAGGCGTTCCCAGGCCAGCCCAGAGACATAGTCCCTCCAGCGTGTCCTGGGTCTTCCCCGGGGCCTCCTCCTGGTGGGACATGTCTGGAACATCTCCTGAGGGAGGTGCCCAGGAAGCATTTGGAACAGATGCCCGAGCCATCTCAACTGGCTCTTCTCGATGTGGAGGAGCAGCGGCTCTAGTCCGAGCTCCTCCCGTGTGACTGTGCTCCTCACCCTATCTCTAAGGGAGCGCCCAGCCACCCTGCGGAGGAAACTCATTTCAGCCGCTTGTATCAGCGATCCTGTCCTTTCGGTCATAACCCAAAGCTCATGACCATAGGCGAGGGTAGGAAGCCACCTTTTTCTGGTCGAGAACCATGGCCTCGGACTTGGAAGAGCTGATCCTCATCCCAACCACTTCACACTTGGCTGCAAACCGCCCCAGTGCACATTGCAGGTCCTGGTTTGATAAAGCCAACAGGACAACATCATCTGCAAACAGCAGAGATGAGATCCTGTGGTCCCCAAATCGGACCCCTCCAGTCCCTGATTGCGCTGTCCGTAAATACAATGAACAGAACCAGTGACAAAGGCCAGTCCTGGCAGAGTCCAACATACAACGTCCAACAGGTCTGACTTACTGCCGGCAACGCGAACACAGCTCTTGCTCCGGTCATACAGGGACTGGACAGCCCTTAACAAAGGGCCCCGGACCCTATACTCCCAGAGCACCCCCCACAGGACACCACAAGGGACATGATCGAATGCCTTCTCCAGATCCACAAAGCACATGTGGACTGGCTGGGCAAACTCCCATGAACCCTTGAGCACCCGATGGAGAGAATAGAGCTGGTCCAGTGTTCCACGGCCAGGACGAAAACCACACTGCTCCTCCTGGATCCGCTGGATGCTTGTGAGATCCAGGAGGATCCAGGATCTTACAAGTATCTATAGCGATATTGCAAAAACTTGAATCACTATTTTTTTCTGTAATGACCAAAAATATGGCTTTCAATATTAATACAATTTCAATAACATAAACAAGACATTTGTTCCTCCAAAGTTTACACTTTGCTCCAGAGGATTGGCTGCAGACTTCTCCATTAAACTCAATTCTTAATTAAACTAAGACAATTACTGTGGATTTGAACTGATTAAAATGTCATTACTTTCACAGCCATATATATGGTCATTTTATAGGCAGAAATTTCATGTGGCCTTCTGGTAACCCATTATTGTAAGCCCTGATTTCCTGTTTTTTCTTTAAGGGAACAGAAGACAAGCACCTGGGTGCAGAGGAGTGTTAGTTTTACCCTGTAGTAGGAAGTAGTCAATTGGGGTTTTCTTGAGCGCAGCTTTAGCCTGGTCACTGGTCCAGTCCACCTCCAGAGCCTGCTTTAGACTGCAGAACGACACCATCTGCAGGACAAGCAGCACAGCAGGAGAGAAACGGATTTTTCCTGAATGTCTTTAGAATGATCTTGAGCTGTATTAGATATAGACTTGTATACACCCATGGACCACTATGGAACCCACCTGGACCACTGAGGTATTGCAAAGATATAAGGCCACATGTTAAATATTAATATAAA